CTACCCTGGGGGTCTTCAAAAGGAGGCTAGACAACCACCTAGCCGGGGTCATTTGACCCCAGCATTCTTTCCTGCCCATGGCAGGGGGTCAGACTTGATGATCTGCTTAGGTCCCTTCCGACCCTACCAGCTATGAAACTACCAAAGATGTATGGAATCTCTACACTCGCATTCAGTAGATTAACCAGAACTCAGAAATACTTCCCAGTGAGCAGTTGTAATAATTAACTAATGTGACTCAGATTCTGGAAGCCACCAAAGGTTAGTTTGATTGCCCTTCCCTCTTGCGAGCTGATGCTTTGGAGAATCTCCAGCCTTGAAAACATAACTTGTACATGACTGCCACCTGAAAAGCTAGATCTATAGCTAGGTTTGAAGAGCTGGATTGTGGAGGAAGGGTCTTTCATTTAGAATCACTCAAGATAACCGTTACCTTTTTTTCATAGACTCATAGAAAGTTAGGGTTGGAAGGGACATCAGGAGCAGGACTGTCCCCAAATACATCATCTCAGCCAAGGGTTTCTCTAGTCAGCTCTTAAAAACCTCCAAGGATGGAGATTCCTTTCTGCGTAACCTGTTCCAGTGCTTTACTACCCTCCTCATGAGAAAGTTATTCCTGATATCTAAACCTAAGCTTCCCTTGCTGCAACTTAAGACCATTTCTCCTTGTTCTATTCATCATTTGTCGAGAGTTGTTTCAATTCTCTGATGGAGACAAAGAGACTTCTCTTACATGCACGTCTTGGTCTTAAGAGAAATCAGTATGCATGAGACCAGAGGACACAGGACCCATATGGATGATCTATCTATTAATGGCTGTTGAACAGAAGAGTTGGATATGTTTCTTCTGGCCTCTCTAACTTAATAAATGGTGGATGCCAGGGAAGGTGTTAAATGGGGGATAGATCACTCCAGATGTATCCAATTCAATGCTCTTCCTGCATAGCATCCACTGCTGGAGACAGTAGACTGGGCTAGATGGACCATTGGTTTGACCCACTATGGCACTTCTGATATTCTTATATATAAAGGTTTGTGGATAACTTTATTCTGTGGCACCATAGAAATCAGTGCCTGGAGTTACAGAACAGTTGAGTTCTCCTCCTATCCATCTTAACATGACCACAGACACCTACCACCCTCCAAAAGGAGCCAGGGAATTGTTCGTTGCATTCACTATAAATCCATGAGCCTCAAATAAGAAAGATATCCTTTATGTTGCCTCCTGCAAGGTCCTTAGGAATGAGACTCAGGCAAGTGTATTGTCAAAGAAATGCAAGCTACTGAGCTTAGGCTGTTATTAGTAATGCCTCTGCAAATATCCTGTGAGCAGAGGCTGGGTTTAAAAGTCATGTTTTAGCATGGAGAGCAATCTACTCCATCGGTGATCCAAAAAACTTTTCAACAGCAAGGCCTGACTAGGGTATACATATAAGCTTCCTGTGGTAACATCATAGCATTTACTGCCTGAAAAGATTGCATTGATAATAGGAGCTAGAATCTCCATCCAGGATTTCATCTTCTATCAATGTCTATTAACCTAATTAGCCTCTTGACATCTACCAGCCCAGACATCCAGATCCTTTTAGCCCTGATCAGCTTTCTCCTAGCTGAACAAGCTCTACTGCCTCTGACTCCATGTTGTGTGAGCTTTCCTCTGGGATGATTTGTTATTTCTTCTTTTCTACCAGGGTAATTTCTATGGCAGATTCTATTTTCCTGTATGCAGGGTCTTCTGACAAGAATCCCATTTTGACACTCCCCCAAACCTTGGGGTCCAGGAAACTGCAGCATTGATGCAGCGATGTCTAAACGAGCATTTTTCCTTTGCGGGGTTTCTCTGAATTCTCTGGAGGACGATAACACATTCTGTTCTGCTTTTGGACGGGAGGTGTTTCTGTTTGGTTTCTCATTGCTCCTCCTGCCTCTCCCCGCCTGTATCTCAATGGTGACAAATATGCCTCAGAGAAGGAATTCCAAAAATGGTCACTCGTGATCTAAGGCTGAGAGTTAACATGTCTCAGGGGATGAGCTATAACTCCAGATGTCTGCAGGTCTTCAGGGCAGTTTTCTCAACGTGATTTGTTTTTCTTTGCGTGTGCGTGTCTGGAGAAGCATCATCTCTGTCCAAGGATCCGCCTCTTTTGTGGTTTGGTGTTTTCTGATCTGACATTCAGGTATACATGGAATGAGGTCTTTGGCCTTGGACATTCCTTATCCTCGGAAAGAAAGAGGCCCTAACAAGGCATCCAAACTGAGCAGAAATGGCCAGCAGGACCATGGCTTCCTATAGGGTTTCTGCTGTTCGGATGCCTCCAGGCCTTCATTTTTCTCTGCCTGCAGCAACAAACAAGAGAGGCAAAGGATCCCAAGAAATGCTTCCTTGATGGAGAAAAGTCCTTGAAACTTCAGTCCCCGAGGGGCAGGCCACAGGAGGCTCTGTAACTTATCACTGCTGCCCCCAATCAGTTTTTGATCCTGGGATTTCAGTCAGATAAACTACCACCTTGCTCGTACTTGCAGAAGCAGACTCTGGTATGAGTACAGGAGACAAGACCTGGAGTCTTGTGGACAAGTCTGAACTGCTTCGAGTATTTGCAGTTGTTTGTCTGACTGGGTTTACCAGCAGGGCAAGTGGCCTATGGCAAGAGACAGAGAGTGAGTGGTACCCGAGAGAGATGTGTTTAGAAAGCAAGGTAAACAAAGAGAAGGAAACCCTGATAAATGAAGGCAACCTGCATGAAGATAATCCTCTCCATCGGTATCACAGAACCCAGGATTTCTCACTGAAGGGCCAACAAATCTGTAATCTAAACTAGCATTACATTTTCACAGTTCAGCTGCAGAGATTCTAATTCCCCAGAGGAAAAACTGACTTTTTAAGAAAATATTTAACCAAATATATTGGAAGAAAATGCGACTTGCCTTGTGTTAGTCTGCGGGGGGTGGGTTTTCCCTGCTAGTACCGTTCAGCATTCAGTAGAGAAAGGAAAACAAAAGAAGCTAAACACCTTCCTCGAGAAGCCTGTGCTTCCAACACCCCTCCCAACAACAGATAAAGATGATATGAAACTATTAATTGGCTCAAATGGCTTAACAGGAAACTTTGCAAACCTGGTCCAATTCATAACACAAGCCCAAACCAGGAAAGTTGTGTGTGTTTTTGTGGTTTCATAGACAACTGTAGCAAAATGTCAAAGATGACACTTCCCCGGTTTTCCCTGTCCCCATATGAGGGAAGGGGCAGCAGCAATGTTAGACCACCACCGGCTAACGGGGTTCCACATCTACCGTTCCTAGGCTCTTTTAACCATTCAGGAACCAGATCGCAGCAAAACTTTTGTGGAGGTTATCAAGTAAGGATGCTTTCAGGGGAATTACCTTGAGTTAAAGCAGCCAGTTGCTTTCCTTATAAACTAAACTGCAGAATTAACTTGCTCCCTCTCGGACCTCCAACCTCTTTCTCTGTCCTCACTGCATCTGAATGCAGGTGGTTGCTCTCAGACCTGTGACATTTTTGTTGCTGCAATGCCCTTCAAAGCCCTGTCAGAGTTTCAAGGACATAAAAAAGCTTGGATCTTACCGATCACTCATTTTTAATTTTTGCCTGAGAGTATGGCAGAGGGCCAGGAAAGCACTCAGCACAGTTTTGCCCAGGTGCCCTTGTACAGTTTATAGACTGATGAGAGTGTCTTTCCCATGGAAAAGCAGCTGCTTGGAGGATATTACACCACTGTCGGCCTTTGCAGGCTCATGTCAAAACAAATAAATAACCCTGTTGCATAGGCAAGGGTGAGACACGGCGTTTGGGAGGTGGCAGGTAAGGAACAGCATCCACATTCGACAGTTCTCCCTGTGATGGGAGGGACATTGCATTGCAGGTCTGCTCTACTGAAAAAGCAAAGATAATTTCTGCTTAAGATATCTGGAGGGAAACTCTTGCAGCTTTTTATTACATTGCTTTTACAATCTGCTTGGGAAAAAAAAGGAGCCTGTCTGGGGAGCAGTGCTCTGGAGGCCATTTTGCAAATCATGGAGGGGAGGGAGCTTGCCACTTCTTGATAATATACTACAGCAGTGCATCTATCAACTGACCTGCTAGTGTTACCCACAAATGGGTAGTAAAGAACAAGGTGTCAGCACTACCCTACAAATCAGCAGAGCAAAGCAGGTAGGAGCTTAGAGGTTGTCTTGCATAAATTATTGTAGGGGGAATGTCCAAGGAACAGGTTATGTGATGCAGGTGACAGTACTAAAAAGCTAAATCATTGCTTCATACTCTTACAATGCCAACAAATACATCACACATTGACTTTGCACCTCTTTTTATTTCTTTTGCAGGGTGAATATTTTCTGCATATTTCCTAGCAACGCAGAACATTTCTGCTAATATACTGCACATTTCTTCACAGGAAGCTGAACAAAATCATAGCAGTAAGTTAGAGCACTCCAGGTCCCAACAGCTGCAGGAAAAGGCATACAACACATGCATTACATCTCAACCAGCCTGTTAAACTGCGAGTATAAAAATGGAAGTTTGGATTTAAAAAAAAGAAAAATCAAGCTCACCAGATTTGACAAACCTCAGTTCTGCCTTGCAACACACCTTGTGTTTCTTACCTGTGGTGGAGGATGGGCAAACTGAGACTCAGGTAAGTTAAGTGACTTGGAAAAGGTCATCCAGAGCAAGTCAATCTCATCAGTGGAAATAAGACTTAGGCATCTTGATTCTTAGATGCTTGCTCTGAACATTGGAAAATTCTCTGGTCTGAGCTGGTGCTGAGATGAACAGGAACACCTGCTAGCTAAGTAACATGTGTTAAATAACCTCAAGCTCTTCCTCTAATGGGATGTTTGAAACTTTCCTCTCCTGCTGAGTGAAGGCAGCTGCACTGGGGGAACTTGAGCACAGCACAAAGCAAAAGAAAAGAAAAAGGGCAAGTAAATTAAAATATGGAATAGCAGCAGCAACACAAAGCAAAACAAACTGTGCCACAGACCTGATGGGGGATGAGTCGCTGGACGTAGAGGAGGTGGGCATAGGACTTGATGGCGCAGAGAACAAGGGCCAGGACGGTGAGAGGGGTGACGTTGGGCTTGGATTCTGAGGGCTGCAAGACAGAACCAGATAACTCATCAACACACAACAGAAAGAGGCACTCAGACAACATCCAACCATGGGCCGCTGCCTGAAGAATATTCGCAGCATGAGACACAGCTATGAAATGGAGCTCTGAGACCTTGGGAAATGTTTCAAGGCAAGATCTGCATTTCGCTAGACAACAAGAGCTGGATCTTCCAATTAACCCCTGCTCCATTAGACTTTGCTGGCAAGCTTAGTGCTTTGTTGTAGCGAATGACTGTGTTCCAGGTTACAGAGGCCTCCTTGCTGCACGCAGCGGCTTTGTTCCCCCAGCTTCTTACCTGCTTTGTTTTATCTTCCCCACTGTTGTCAGAGGCCGCTGATCACATTTCTGGACATCAATGATGTTGTAACCAGCCCTTCATTCCCCTTTTTATTTGGGTTGTTGTGGAGTTTGAGTATAAAAGGCTATTCTCTGGGCCACCATCCACAGTGCCTGAACACAATTCCCTGTTTACCTTTTAAACTAAATGGGTCTTATGCACTTGGACACCCAGAGGAGTTCATTATCTGAAGGCTGGCGGGGAGGTATGCCAGGCCTGTCTTTTTTGCTCCATAATCTGTTTCAAGAAAACTAGTAGGAAAAAAAAAGTCTCCGATCTGCACACCCTAAATAACCTTGCTACTAAGGGATCTCCTGTGATAAAAGAAAGGGCCTTCTCTCAAATACTGATGAGAACACGCGGTCTGCATGCTCTCTGTGGCTAACCGGGGCTGCTTACATCCTCTGCTTGAGAATGCAGAGAAACCAAAATGGAGTGTAACCTGTTTTCAGAAAACACAGAAAGGATATTGAGGAAAGCATCAATGCACTGCCTAATGGGATTCTGCCAATGCAGACAAGAGGGCCTATTACTCATAGTCCACAGCTAAATGAAATTGGTCTATATCTGTCAAACTTATAAATGATTGCCAGGCATCAGACCCCTCTGTTGGGACCTCAGCAAGCACCAGTCTACCACAGTACAATTGGTTTGCAGGTGATGTAAATGGTTGATATTGAGATAATTGAGTCTGCTCGGTATTTCTGCAGTGGTTTCTTTCATTCTCTTGTAACCTTTCCATTGCGTATTTTAAATCTGGTCCTTCTTTTTCTCTTATCCTAGAAAACCAAATCAAGCATTTTCTTGAACCTATTAGACACTGAACCCCTAATTTTCCTTTAAGTACTAGCACTGTGAGCGAATATAGTAGAACTCAGTTTCACAGAACTGTGGCCAAGTAAAACTCCTCTTACATACAGATGTGAAGTAAAAAGTCTGCATTTGCTTCAATACATATTTAAGGTGACCCGCATGTAACCGTAATTACTGACTTATAAGCATACGTACCACTTTGCGTCTCAGTACATTTCAACCCTTCTGGATGTTCAATTTCTGAACCGTATTGCCTGTCTAGCTTAGATTGTAAACCCCATCTTTTGTACACATGGAGCACAGCAGAGGCAGCAAACAAGTAGTAAATAAAAACGTAAGCTTGGGTCACTTGCTGTGTGGAATTAGTTGGATATTTCAGCCCCTAATGAGGAATCAAAATTTTTGTTCCATTAATCTTTGACAAGCAGGAGGGGTGGATGCTAGACAGCAAGCAGCTACTGGACTGTGGGCTGTGTCCAGCATTGGCAGATTTAAAGGGAAGCAGCAAGCTCAGGAACATGCTAGAGCAAAGGAATCAGTACTAAGGTAACATGGCTAAGGGGTTTAAAAGATCATATTGATGTCTGAGTGGAAAGAATGGCATGACAGATCCATCTCTGGTGTTAAAAAGTCCCTGAAATTGTTAGTAAACCTTTTTCACTGACTTCTCAGAGATAAGCTGTCCCATAAAAGGGAATTTGGTGAGGCTGGGGCTTTTTTTTTGCTTTTTTTTTTTTGATAGTATCATGTTTCTTTTCAAAATGGTGCAAAGGACCTGCAGATCAATCCCAGTGTAGTAGCACTGCTCTGATTGAGAGAGATGGCTTGGATATCAGGAAAGGGAAGACTGCTTCAATTGCCAGGCTGGTTTTATATTTAATTCTGGGAAATCCTCTGGGCACTCAAAGCCAATCTTCCAGCTACTTCTAACCCAGTTTTCTATTATCACGTGAACTGTGTTAGGGCCAGTGCTATGGCTTTGGAAAGTCACAATATAAAGCATGTGTGAAAGAATAAAGACAAGGAAAAACCTTCCAAACATCGTGATTTTCTTTCATTCCAAATCCTAGTTTCAGATTCTTATCGTATGACTTGAACCCACCTAAATTTATGTAATATTTTGCTACTGTGAGAGGGAAGTCAGTAGACTAGACTAGACAATCTGGTTTAAGGACAGAGATGTAGCTAGCAAGTTGCGTGCCCTGCGTAAAACTCCCTGCACCCTAAGGGGGGTAATGCCGAGAGCCAGACCACGAGGGAGGTCAGTCTTACCTGCTCTAGGAACTCTAAGACCCTGACTGCTGCTGTTAGGTTGCTGTCTGCCCACTCCTGGCTGCTGTTGCTGTGGTGTCCTGAACTGAGCTGGTCCTGCTGCAGTGCAGGGCTGCTATTGCCCAGCTGCTACTGACTGGCACACGCCTGCTGCTGCCAGGACAAAGACTCCCCGGGGGACTCCCAGTGTGGCGCTCTTCTAAGCACCCAGAGCTAGTGCCCCCCTCAACCCTCTGCCAGGTTATGCTACTGTTTAAGGATACCAATACTGTTTAATATTTTTGAAGACTTTTTGTAGCTTTTTTTTCAGTTGTTTGAAAATGAAATTTGACTCTCTGTATCATGGATCCTGACTCCACTCAGGGAGCATTGACTTCTACCCCCTAGCTTGTGATGCATTCAGACATCCTCAGCATTTTTCTTCTTTTTAACTCTGTCCCTCAATGTTCAAAAAGTGGGATTGCCAGGACCATGCTATCTAAACTGCAAGAGACCAGGGCTTGCATTTGAGATTATCATCCTTCCACTTCAAATGAAGCTAAAGTTGACATAACTATTTGATTTCTTTGCAATGCCATGGTGGTGCTCACTCAAATATGGAAGAATGATGTCTTTGACAGGAGTGTGTGGATTCAGTTCAGTTTCTGGGGAGAAAGTGTCCATACTACAAAAAATCGTTGTAATTGGCACCCAGAGACCATTCTCTGCCAGTTTTTAGAGGTTACATTTTTGGCCTGAACTACTTGAGGTCTTGTCCATTTAAGGGCAAAGTCTTGCTTGCCTTATTCACATGGGCAGCAGTTTCACTGAACTCAATGAGAACTTACTTCCTCCTCTTCGTAATTAGGAAAGTCACATCAATGTGGGAATTCCTAAGCACACTACAACTTCTATAGGAACTCTACATAAAGCATAAAGGGCTTGTAAAGAAGCTTACATCAGAGATCTTCAATGCATCTCCCCTAGCAAATAGGTCTTAATTATCGATATTTTGCTAAGAAAATGTCATTCTTCTATAAAAATATGTAACTGAAGTATCCCAGATTATAAAGCTTAACCATTGAAACACCGGCTCCTGACCTCTCTTTTTCTCTCTCTTTTGCAGCCGCAGCCTACTGGTTATTTTGCCATGACACGCCACTTTCCAGTATCACATCAAGTTATATAGCATATATTTCATTCAGGTTTTATGTATTTAATGTGTATATAGCAGTGGTTTTCAACCTGGGGTCTGCAGACACCTGGGGGCCTGCAGATTATGTCTAAGGGGTCAGGGAAAGATGGCTATGATCAATCAAAAGTATATGAATACCCACACTTACAATTCAATGGGGTCCATACCTCCATTGGAAATTGTTTAGGAGTCCACAAATGAAAACCACTGGTGTATAGGCATGCTTCTGCCCTCTAATGGAGAGAATAATGTTCGAAGGTTCTCTACTAGGTAAGAAGTCCAGAGCTTTTCCATCAATTTTAGCACCAAGAAGAGGGGTCTATATTTTTACAAGCCATTAGTTATATTCCTCATGCTACCTATATGCAGACTTTCTGTTTCCATATAGCCAAACAACTATGGAACATTATGTCTCCTGCAGTGTTACATTCTTAGATGGCAAATATAATATAAACACATTTTTTACAATAGTGGACAGGATACACATGCTTTTAGATTTGCTGCCACCATTCTCTGTTTTCACAGAATCAGCCATTGGGGACCTCAGAGCACTTTCTATAGAAGTGAGCTACTATCCTCATTTCACAGACATGAAACGACTTCCTAGAGGGAAACAGCATTACACTTGCAAATAGAATTTTCAGTTTATGGTCCCCTGCTTGAACCAAGCTACCTTGCTACTGAACATACTGCAGTTTCAGAATAAGTAATAGGAAAACTTACATATTATGAATGGCCTTTTATTACTAAGCCTTTTGTAGTTATACTACCCAATGAGAAGAGTTCTCTACAAGATGGTACTGGAACTGAGCCAGGGCGGCCAAAACAAATGAACAAAAGAATGTCTCCTTCAACACAAACTCAAAGAAACAACCATCTCCTCATGGGTCAGAAAAGGTTATGGGCTTCAATCTGAAGCACACTACCAACAGAGTCAAATCCAGCTTATTCCCTAGAACCTAAGAGAACAGCTGCTGCCTACAGAAGGCCACTTGGATGGCAATTCACTCTCCTTGCTCAGCTTTCTTCTTTTGTTTAGAGAGAGCCCAATTACAGGCCAGAGCAGAGTGCCTTCTTGAACCCATGGAGTTGCGGCGATCGGTTTGAAATTGTTGCCATAAAAGAAGCAGTCTGCCCCCTGATGCACCCTTTCTCTTTGTGTGGACCCGTTGTTCCACTCAACAAATGCCTCTACATCTTTGGCAGCGCTGGGGCAGGGAAAAGGTCTTCTGATGATCTTTTCCTGGATGATGTTCTACTTGGAACCAGAAGAGTTGTAATACCCTGTACCATCGTGTGATGGGCACCTAAGTGCTTCATTGCAAGGAGCCAGCACAGAGCTGCATGATCAGTTATGAAAACAAGTAAGGTACCAAACAGATAGCA